CATATCTCTATGTTGAGGAAGTACGAGCCAGACCCATCGCATATTCTGCGGTGGACTGATGTGGTTGTTGATGAAGACGTGACCTATGAGGAAGGTCCGGTCCAGATTCTTGATTCACGGGAACAGGTCTTGCGGACCAAGACCATTCCATTGGTTAAGGTCTTGTGGAGACATCACGGTGTTGAGGAGGCTACCTGGGAGCTCGAACAGGAGGTTCGCTCACGGTATCCCTATTTGTTCTCCTTTTTAGGTACGACTCGATTTCGGGGACGAAATCCTTTTAAGGAGGGTAGGTTGTAATGATCCGGCCTTTTTCCTCCTTTTCCATTTTTGGCGATTTTCTTTTTTCGTCTTTTTCCTATTTTGCCTTTTCCCTATTTCGTCTTTTTCCCGTTTCTTTCGTTTTTCCTTGCATAACCTTACTTGTTGTGCTCGGATTTGATTCCGGTTTTGCATGTATTCATGGTATTTAAATTCCATGACATCTAGATTTTTACTTTTGTAGAAATGCATATTAAATGCTTACTTTCTTTGTAAAAGCCATGAAAACAAGACTTTTTGTAATTATCCATAACTTGAGGGGGTTTTGGGTAATTAAGTAAAGTAATTATTTTTCGTTTTAGGGACCATTTTGTAATTTTATTTGGAAGATATTTTCAAAAAGGACTTGTTTGCAATTTCCGAAAAGTGTGACAAGTGTCACACTCTCATTGGTCCACTTGTTGACATTTGTGTGGAAACACTTTGATGCCTTGGATGATGACATGTGGAGGGTGGAGATTCACCCACTTGTTGGCCTAGGATTGGTACACTTGTTGGCATGGATGGTTGACAAATGTAGGTTCAAAATTAAGTCTTTGAAGTTTATATAGGATGGTGACAAGTGTAAGCTTGAGATTAAGCCTAGGAATGAACCATAGATTCATGACAAGTGTAGGTTCACCATTTAGTCTTGCATTACGTGTGTGAGAGAGGTAGTGTAAGAGCACATAGTGAGTGGAGGATTTTTAGCCCTTCCACTCACCATTTTACACTTTATCATTTTCATTTTCACTTGTCTTCAAGAACCATAACCTAGCCACCATTGGAGAAAAGCTTGGTTAATAGCGTTTTTCTTCATTTTGGCCTCCTTCCACTCACCTTAGGCATAAAACCTTGGAAGACAAAAGCTTCCTCTCACTCCCCTCTTCATTAACCCTAAACTTGTTTTCCATTTTGAGCTTGGTTGCTTGGATTATAGAGATTCAATTCTCTATTGAGGTAGGGGGTGTTATCATTTATCTTCCAAGTGATTTTATTTGTTCCTATAGTGATATCTAAGTTATATGTTTGTCTTGTATTAAAATGAGAAATAAATGATTAATTGTGACTTGTATGTAATTCACTTTAGACTTGATAAATAACATGACCATGGCTTGATTCATAACTTATGTTAATTTGAGGTCATTTAGAGTTATTTTAAAATCTAGAGGGATTAATGAATTAATTTAATTAATTTTTAGTTATATGCTCCCATGACTTAAATCAAGTTTTGAAGTGATTTATATAATAACCATGACATGTACTACAACATATATTAAATTGAGCATGTTTGGATGGAAAGTGAAATCTAGGGAATTTAGTTATTTTATTAAATTGTTTAAATTATGATTTTAAACTTATATCATACTTGTGAGGTTATGTTCTTGTTGTTGAATGATATTGTTGTAATTAGTGGCAAATAGCATAATGATCATTCAATATTCTTCATACCATTTTAGTTGAGAACTTAGGGCATGTATTGTGTTTCCAAAATTGATTTGTGCATGTTGATGGCTTTACATTGTATATATATATGTTATGTTGATACATATTTTGTATCGGCCATATTTTTGGGCCATGGACCATTGTAGCACATCTTACTAGGTAAGTTACGTTTGCATGCACAAACTGTTCTGAAGACAATTAATGGCACTCTCGAACAGATATATTTGGAGGAAGAAGGAATTGGTTAGTTTTAGGTTTGATTGGCCTAAGGGGCGCACAAAGGCCCCCAAAAGAGAGGTTGGGGTCGCTAAAACCCCAACAAGTCAAGTCATGCAAAGAAACCACCCTGAAAATACCATATTCACAAAGGGAAAATTAAAAGACTAACCCCAATTTCATAATACACTATCAAAGACTAACCCCAATTTCATAATACACGTCAAAGATTGTTTGTTATTCAATCTTGATTCATGGAAGTCCTAAAGGGTTTCATCAATCCGACTATACTATAGGTAAGGAGAAGAGGGGAATTCACTGGACAGACAGAAATCAAATTAAAATCACATACAGAGGCGACTATAACATGGTACCTTCATCCTTGCTCGCTCAATGGTAGAACTGGTCGTTGGTCTTCGTCGGTCGCCGGTCTTCGTTGGATTAAGATTCTCAATTCTGGTCAGCCTACAGATGATGGTATCTTCTACAGGTTATAGATGAGAGAGTTCAGAGAAGGAAGAGATCGAGGAAAAGAACAAAGATGAGAGTTCAGAGATGAATAGAGACGAGAGTTCAGAGACGAACAGAGACGCACCTGGGCAATTTTCCTCTGAAGGTGAAACTCGCCAAAACGAAGCTCTCGAAAAATTCTTGCTTAGACTTAGAGAGGATTAGGGTTTCATATGGATTCAAGAAAGAGAGGGGTGTTTTGGTTTATTAATGTGTACGGGAGGAGAAATGATTTTTTTCAGGAAAGATCGTTTCCGGCTGCTGTTGTTGGGGGCTCTTCAAGACCTCCAAGTTGATACTCACTTTGAGAAAGAGAAAATCAATTGGCAATAACTTCAATTGAAAAGAAAGAGATTGATATTGGGGAAGACCATACAAGTTTTTCAGCACTAGATGTCATGTAAAGGCAGAGGGATCATCATCATTTGAGAGAGAAGACAGAAGGAGAAGAGCTAGGGCAAGCCTTCAGAAAGAGAGCAGAACAAGTTTAATTGAGAGGGTTCTGCGCAAGTGTCCCTTGTGGGTAAAATATATATACACATATGTATAAACAGTTGGATCTCTTACCTTAATTTTTTGCTTCAAATTGATGTGTATAACCGTCTAAAATTCGAAGAAATTGTGGCTCCAAATGGTTATTTGTCGTGTCTAAACCAGAGAGAGAACTCGAATAGAGAGCCGAACTAGAGAGATAACTCGAATAGGGAATCTACAACATCATCTGCATCTTTTTCGTCTAAAGAGAGAGAACATAGAAAGAAAGTTACGGCTTCAACGCGAGAGAAGGAGAGTAGAGAGAGAAAGCTAGGGCTTAGACATGATATATAACCTATTGACAAAAACTATGTCGTTTTTGTCAAATTTTTAATTATGTTTTCTATTATAAAAAAATCATTTATTTGGTTTTTTGGCGCTAAGTTTCTCGCCGACAGGAAAAATTTTATTTGGAAAATAGTATTGCTTATCTACAGGGCAAAAAAGGCGCTTTAAATGTGAAATTTATTCACGGCGTTTTTACTACACCGTAAAAGAACTTAATTATGTTTAATAATGTTTTCTAATTAAAAAAATCATTTATCTGGCGCTAAGTTTTCCGCCAGTGGAAGGTTAAAAATAGTATTGCTTATCTACGGGGCAAAAAATACGCCTTAAATGTGAAATCTATTCACGGTGTCTATAATACACCGTAAAAGAACTTAAGTTCGTTTTTTTATTCTTTTCTATATATATTTTTAAAGTAAGTTTAGTAATTTAAGTTCTATTGCTTATTTACGGGAAAAAAGGCCTTAAATGTAATATTTATCAACGAGTAACATTTATCCCGTTAAAAGTGTACAAATATGCCGTAAATATATCTAAATTTTCACGACTTCTTTAATACACCGTAAAAAAAAATTTCTACGAAGATTCTCCTAAATCCTCGTGAAAACATATAACAATTACAAGAATTCTTTTAAAAACTCCGTAAATGGCAGTAATCACGAAACAAAATAAAGAAGCCCCGTAAATACTATGTCGTAAAAGCCCACATTTCTTGCAGTGATTTTAGACATTTCAAATGCTAAATTTACAGAATATACTCATTTGCAATAATTATAACAAGAAGGGGCTTTTTGCACATCATGTATATAGGGGGTGTTTCTTACATTTAATCCTTTATTAAATAATAGATATCTTGTATATGGAAGTTATATGTATATATTAGAAGTTTAGTAAATATGAATTTTACTCAATTGCGAAGATAGTTTTTTTTACCTCTTACTAGACCAATTCAGAGAGAGAGAGTAATTGGAGATGATTTTATTTTTTTATTTTAATTTATTTATTTATTTATTTTTCTGAAAACACTATTAATGCTACTTATTTATGGCTATTAATGGTGATTTTGTATGAAAAAAGAAAAAATAAAGTTGGCCCCTTCAAATTTAAAAAAACAATTCTTTTTATGGTTATCTATTTATGATAATTAAAGATAGTTTGAATGTAACTTTTTAGTTTTCTTTAAAAATTTAAATAAGTAAAAACATATTACTTGTAATCATTGCTAGCTGCAACATATAAATATATTAAAATTCCATATATATATATATATATATATATATCTATTCATAAACATAATCATGAATAGATTTCACACTGTCCCTTCACAACCTCATTTATTTTCGTCAAATAAAAAAACGAACTTAAGTTCTTTTACGGTGTATTATAGACACCGTGAATAGATTAAATTGAGCACCGTGAATAGATTTCACATTTATGTTTTCCAGTGTATTATAGACACCGTGAATAGACATAAAGACTATAGACATAAAGACTCCACACTGTCCCTTCACAACCTCATTTATTTTCGTCAAATATGTTTTTCATTATTTGTTTCGCCTCATATTATTTAATTTATTTATAAACATTCTCGCTCCGCCCGGCCATACCCGTCTTATGACGGGTCGGTTTAGTGAGATGGGCGAGACCGGCGGAAAAAATTGCGCTCCTGGCGTTAAACAGTAGAGTTTGAAGACAAATTGCGAATTAGATATTTATTTTCGTGTTGTCATGCAATAGGAGACCGAAATAGCGGAGAATCGATCTCTCTCTCTCTCACGGTGACGCCCTTAACCATTGGGATTTGAGCTGCGTTTCTCTATCTAAGATCTTTCGCAACCACCATGTTTTCGTCGCACAAGCTCAAATCTGTCGATTTTTACAGGTCAGATCTCTTCCATCTTCGATTTTCAGTTCATTCACGTTGTTCTGTAAAAATTGCTCTTCAATAGTGTATCTGTGAGTATATTCCAATTCTGTTGAGTGAATTGGACCTATTAATGTGTGTGCATCCATGTGCACTCATGAATATATCTAGCATTATACCGATTTGCTTATTTTTGATTCCTTCAAATTATTATTGTACCGATTGGTTTTGGTTTTCAATAATCTTATTTTTAGCCTTTGTCTTAAATGTGCCGGTTCTTAATTAGTATTATTATTGCATGCTTTGTGGTTGGTTAGCTTTGCAGAGTACTTTTTTTTCTTCCTGAATGTGGTAATTTTATTGCTTAATTATATACTATGGTGCAGAAGAAGAATTCAAGACAAGAAACCAGCAGCCTAAGAAATAGACTTTGCAAACATACAAAAAAAAAAAAAAAAAAAAAAAAAAAAAAAAAAATTAAAAATTCCAGTACATGGATATAAGAACAAGATCTTCTTACATTAAACCCTTATACTGAATGACTTCAAGGCAAGCATCAATATTCAATAGCCACCTCCGCTAGAGTTCTTTTCTTTTCTTCACGGTATCTCAGTTTCCTCTTTATTCAAATATGTCATAGAACTGCATTAAAGATACCTCTGGTTACTGCAATTTTCAATGTAGAGCAAGATGAAAACTGCAGAAACCAATTTGTAAGTTCATTAAAATCTGAGATATACTGAAAATCTACCCAGTGACAAAAGGTCGAAACCACTGCCACACTTGCTTGGCAAAGTCACACCTCCAAAACAGATGCTCAATAGAGTCCTCAACCTGCAAACAGTTATGGCAAATGGACACCAAAGTAATACCCCCTTCTCTGCAAATTGGAAAACGATGGAATGGAGTTATGAATGATCAAAGCTGTACTGTAAGAATGTCTTGGTCTACAATTACTACACCAGATTATACCATCTGACTTTAAGGTTCACATTTCTGGTCTTATCTCAAGCAGACTTGAAACTGAACTGACCATATCTCCATTTCACCCTATCCTCCCCATCACTACTTCTAACGCTGTTAAGAACTGTTGTAATTCCCTGAGGCCAGTGTTGAGGGACAGACATAGATCCTGCATGAATTATAGCAGAAAGAAAAGCATCTCTAGGAGAACCACCAAGAGCCCTAGATCCAAAAACCTGCAAGATTGTCCTTTGCTGAAACCAAGGATCATGGAATAAACTTAATTTAGTGCCATCATCAATTCTGAATTCCGCATGTTCCAACAAAGCTTCCCTGACTGCTAAAGACTTTGCCATAAACCTGAATCTCCAACTTTTGAAATACAAGTCCTGAAATAGGCATTTCTAACATACTTATCCGTGAACTATGCAATCCATAAAGCCTTCTTTGACTGAATGAAATCCCAGGTAAGAACAGGAAGTAGACAGAAACAAAGAGAAATCTTCTTACAGTACTAAGAAAGAATAGGGTTACTCCAATCACTGTTGGAGCCTAGATTTCTAAAGAAAATCCAGGAAAAGCCTTAGAGAAGTTTAAAATCTGATAATATCTCAAAGTATATAGATAAAGACTTGGTTCGGGTAAACTTATCAAAAAAAAAAAAAAAAAAGACTTCGTTCGAGTAGATAAGAGGGCTGTCCCTTTTGTAAGACAACTATTAATGATACTTACTTTCTCTAGACTTCTTCAATATACCCACAAAACATTAATTACTTCTACTATTCCCGTGGGCCATGACATTTTCAGATTCCCACACCACAATTACTACTTTGACTAGAGACTATTGACTACATTAATCTGACTAGACACTTTTCATGACACCATAACTTATTTGCATCAAACCGTCGTCCTTGAAGAAATCTCGCTCTTGAGTTTGAAATAATTTACCATGATCAAATAAGAACCCGAGTGAAGCCTTCCATCCATTCTTTCTTCTTTTCTTTACTTGAAAAAAACACAGTAATCTGCTGTTAGTGACAAATAATCTGATTTTCAGACCCCTCTTTAGAAACTTGGTAGATTTTCAAAATCTGCTTGAACACAAATCAGGAGCCAAGACCTGAATTAATCTGATTTTTGCATTGGAACAACACCTGATTATATGTTGCGCCAAAAATTCATCCCAAAAATTTCACGAGTATGAAATTCATTTTCTCAGTTCCAAGAACAAAAAAGATTCATTTCTAACCAAATTATGCAATAACGCAAGTAAACTCCATCTGACATACTGTCTAACGCAGCAGTTACCATTGGGAATCCAATTGTCTTATCTTCCAAAGTTTCACCTATTTGTTTGTTGATGAACATAAGCTCTGAAATTTCTACAACTTGGGAATCAACTTGAGATATTTACTTCAATTTCTTAAATGGTTCCCACTTTCTCACCTCAAATCCATGATATGCAAATTGAATAATTACGGCTGCCTTAGTTTCTGACATGTTGCTGGCTGCTTCTTCAGACTTCTCCACTTCCACCTTTTTCCCTTCATATCCCTCTCCATCGTTGTCAAATTCTAGAAGCGATGAAGTTGAATGTACCCCCATGATCTCTTCTTCATCTACACTTCTGAAGGATTTATCAAATGTTGAGGTGACATTAACATAATTCCCAAGATCTTCCTCAACCAAGAGTTGTTTTCCGTCAATATTGTGGCTGTTTACATCTCTTGGGAACTTGGCAGACTTGCATCCTGAACCTTTGCATGTGTAGGACCAAAATTCAGGTTCTATTGTACGTTTCACCTTTGCTGTCCATGTAACTAACGTGTCTGCACTCTGTTTTGCATTTTTCCACTGCATAAGGCAATGAAATCTCTCTCCAGCAGGCTGTCTTACCCAATTTTCACGTTGATATACATCCATTCGCTGCCTTTGTTTCCCATTGCCCAGATTCAGAGAAGAAATGATTCCATTTTGTTCTAATATAGTGCTCACTGCTCAGTCGAGAAATTTGATGCTGCAGTTTTTGAATGTCTTCTTTTGTGGATATCTTGCTTCCTTTTTTTTTTTTTTTTTTTTGATAAGTAAGATTTCATAAAAAGGCGGTCAAGAGGGGAGCGCTCCCAGAAGAATACACAAAATGCCAAAGGCAACATTTAAAACTTTAAGCTATCCACAAAATCTACAAGATCCCCCAAAGATGTACGATTCCGCTTGTTAACCCAAAAAAATAAAGTGTGCAGTATACTATATTTTAGAGACCAAATAGAGGTCTCCTCACCCTCAAATGATCTCCTATTTCTCTCATGCCACAAACCCCACCATAAACAAAGGGGATTGACCCTCCAAACAGCCTTGACTTGGCTCTCCACTAGACACCCTTTCCAAGCTTCGATCATATCCACAGTTGTTCTTGGGAACACCCAAGACATGCCAAATGCTACCAAAAGCATAGACCAAACATCCCTTGCCACTGGGCAATGAAGAAGGTGGTGATTCACCGTATCCTCCGTCTTCTTGCACAAACAACACCAGTTGACCACAATTTGCCTTCTCTTCCTAAGGTTGTCAAGGGTGAGGATGCTACCGTGGGCAACACGCCAAGCAAAGAAGCCACCTTCAAAGGAGCTTTCGACCTCCAAATCGCCTTCCAAGGGAAAGAAGGACCCGGGGTCACAGTCAAGCTGTGGTAGAAATCCCTAACCTCAAAGACCCCTCTTGGCATGCCCACCCACACCATCTCATCCATCCCCACACCCTCCACAGACTGTAGAGCAAGGCGAAAAAATCAGCAACCTCCATAAGCTCCCAATCATTGAACTCTCTATGGAATTGCACGTCCCAAGTCAACCTCCTGTTGTCGAGACGGTAACAGTCGGAAACCAGGGCATGAGGATGCGAGGAGATCCTGAAGAGCTGCGGGAATCTACGAGCTAGCACAAAATCCCCACACCAACGGTCCTCCCAAAACCTGACATGACTACCGCTCCGAACCTTGAATTGGATACGTTTAGAAAACTCGTCCAACCCCTTCCGGATGAGCTTCCAAATGCCTAAGCCCATTGGAAATCTCACTTCTCTGGACAGCCACCCACCATCACCCTCCCCACACCGGCAAACAATGACCCTCCTCCAAAGACGGGACCCCTCTCTCCCAAACCTCCAAAGCCATTTGCCCAATAGAGCCTTGTTTGAACAAATCCAATCTCCGAATGCCCAGACCCCCCTTTTGGGAGCACACTTTCTCCCAATTCACCAAGTGATACTTGAACTCATCTCCAATACAATCCCATAAAAAGATCTTTTGAATCTCATCCAACCGTTGAATAACAGTCTTCAGCGTAGGGAAAAGAGACATGAATTAGGTTGGGAGGTTTGATAGAGTACTTTTTAAAAGGGTAATCTTTTCCCCTTTTGAGAGATACTGATACTGTCACTTGGTGGCTATCTTGCTTCCTTGTGTAGCCATAGATCCACAATAATCACAGATGTGAGAGGAAAGGCTCTGATACCACTTGAAGCAAACAGAAATCTTCTTACGGTAAGAAAGAATAGGGTTACTCCAATCACCGTTCGAGCGTAGATTTCTAAAGGAAATCTAGGAAAAGCCTTAGAAAATTTTAAAATCTGATAATATCTCAAAGTGTAAAGATAATGACTTGGTTTGAGCAGATAAGAGGGATGTCCCTTTTATGAGACAACTATTTATGATACTTACTTTCTCTAGACTGACTTTCAAGCTACCCACAACACATTAATGACAACTTATACTATTCCCATGACATTTTCAGATTCCCACACAAAAATTTCTACTTTGACTAGAGACTATCAACTACATTAATATGACTAGACACTTTTCAAGACACCATAAATTATTTGCATCACAACATATTTGGCTGCAACATCATTCTCTTCAAAGATCTGATGCCAAACCCACCCTCTGCTTTCAGCAAGGTAACAACATCCCTTTTCAGAAAATGCATAGAGCTACTTTCAGAAGAGCCACCCCAAATAAAATTCCTCACTATTCTCTCTAAAATACATTCGACATTGGCAGGAATAGAATACACAGCAACCCAATAGTAGAAGAAGGAAGTTACAAGTGATTTTACCATTTCGATTCTCCCAGCCAAGGATAAATTGTGAGCAGCTCATAAATTCAACTTAGCTGAAACTCTATCAGTCAAAGCAGCACAGTAAACCTTGTTCGATTTCCTATCAATCATAGGCAAGCCCAAATAAGTCACTGGCAAAAAATCCCCTTCTATATTGCAAAATTCTCAAAATGCTTCCTTACAGCCTTGGAAAAGAATATGAGACTTTTTTTTGAGCCCACCTTAATACCAGAAACCTCTTCAAACTGCTTCAACAAATGAGAATTCCCACAGGCATTCCCAATAGAAGCTTTAAGACTGATGAATACATTATCAGCAAAGAAAAAATGAGATAACTTAGACCCCACTTTTTTGACAGTATTACATAATTCCAGTTCACCATCATTCACCTTCTTGAGCATCCAATTGGAAAAGAAGTCTGTGACTAAAGTAAAGAGGAGAGGAGACATAGGACAGCCTTGCCTCAAATCCTTACTAGCTTCAAAAAAGCCAGTTGGAACCCCATTCTCCCACACAGAAAAATGAGTTGAAGAGACTCACATCATCACCCAGTCAATCCATCTTGTATCAAAACCATACTATACCAAAATAGACCTCAAAAAATTCCAAGAAACAAAATCTATTTGAGTCCCTCAACACTGACATGTAAGGCTGAGAATATTACTATCACACTTCAAGATCAAAAAGTCACTAAAAATAGTCATTTTCGATATTTAGGGTCCGTGCTACAACAGGATGGAAAGAATTATGATGATACAAGAAGTAGGATTGGAGCAGGGTGGACAAAATGGAAACAAGCTAGTGGTGTTTTATGTAACAAACAAATACTAAATAGGTTAAAAGGAAAAATTTATAGGATGGTTATTAGACAAGCTATATTATGTGGAGTGGAGTGTTGGGTGCTAAAAAAGAAATAAGAACAACGGATTCACATAGCTGAAATGAGAAAGTGAAGATGGATGATAGGACTAATAATCAACACGTTAGGGAGGAAGTAGCAGTGGGGCGTATTAGCGATAAAATAAGAGAAAGTAGACTTTGACATCTGAGAAGCCCAGGTTTCAAAGGTCTCCCACTTTGCCTTCTAGAACTAAACTTGTATATCTTCGATTTTCTTTACTTTGCCTTCTAGAACTAAACATGTATCTCTTCCATTTTATTCTCTTCTGTTTAGTACCCGTGGGAAAATAATATATGATGCACAATATTATGTGTTCACATTGGTATGCACGAATCTTTTGTGTGGGTCACTATTATACATCATTGAATGCAAATTTCACTTATTATTTATTTTTTTTGGCACAGGAAAATTCCTAGAGACTTGACGGAGGCATCGTTATCGGGTGCAGGGTTATCGATTTTAGCAGCCTTATCCATGATGTTTTTATTTGGAATGGTAGGAAGCTCATACTTCCTTAATTTTATATGTATTATTTGAATTATGGATCATTGAGTAGTTAACAAATGCTCTTCATTGATGTCTGATCCGATTCTATATTTATGCAACACTTGGTCATTCTAACAAGATTTGCATTGGAGTTTTTGGTTGAAATCTGTCTTCTTCCAGTCATTATTTATCCCTTTCCAATCGTTCTCATCTCAGAATTTATTACTGCTTATAGTGCCTCATTACATGAATGCTTTCTATTTCTTTTGCAAAAGCCATTGTCGTTGATGCCGCTTTGTTTTGTATCTTAATTTGATCATGATTTTGAGATTTTCATTTTGCAGGAACTAAATAATTATTTAACAGTGAGCACCTCTACATCCGTTATTGTTGACAAGAGTTCTGATGGGGAATTCTTACGAATTGATTTTAATATCAGGTAATAAACCTGGCATTAGTTCTAACTGGTTTTATACTAGCTTATCGGTTTTGTATGAGACAGATTTGAGCTTTAAGATAATTTTATAATATTAATTTTTTGGTAAAAGACAACTTTATGGATAATTACATCTATGCCACCATTTGAAGATATGGTCTTTCATATCTTGGAAGATATATGATCTTCATCAACATGACACACTTGAGTAGGTTTTCTAGATAACATTTGTGTTGCTACTCATAGGTTTATTATGTTAGAAAATTTCAGCACTGGTATTGGATCTACTTTCAACCATTATCATGGCATGATTCTATTAATATCTTACAAACTTGTGTAGCTGTTCTGCTCATCTCTTTGCATTTTTTGTATTGGTGTTATAACATGCGTGTCTTTTCAGTCAATTGTTTGACTTTTAACTTTGCATTACTAACTTGTTTAGGCTTTTTCAGTTATTTTTTTATTATTTTATTTTATCATCATTATTAGTTTTTTTTCATGAATGGGCTGGTTATTATTTTCATTTTTGTTACTTAGATAAAACTAACTTTTCCTTGAAAATTTGTTGTAGTTTTCCAGCACTCTCATGTGAATTTGCATCTGTTGACGTGAGTGATGTCTTGGGAACAGTAAGTTTCTATCATCCAGTTCATCTCACTTTGTTTACTTATAGAACAGTAGGTTTCAACATTATATGTGCTTCAAGTGATTATTTCTACCAAAAAGTAGCTATGTTGCTGGTGATATAATAATTTATAATGTTAATAGACTTTTCAAACGTAACAATTTAACACGTTTATAGGAGGTCTGACAAAGGTTTTATGCCCGAAGTCAACTTTACTTTTACTAAAATAGGTCCGTTCTTTCAGTATTGAAGGGAAATATGTATGACGCATATGGATTTTCTTTCCATTTGTTGATGAAGTAATGAGCATATATAAGATGGCACAATTTAAAAAAATTACAATATTATTAGTTAGATAATTTTCATTTTATTATTATTATTATTATTATTATTCTTGTTATTTTTCCTAGTTGGTACTCAGACAAGGAATTATTTGCACCCAAAAGGAATCAAACCTTAGACCTAATACTTCATGATTCACCAGGGCCAAGTTCTTACCCACATGAGCCAACCCCTTGGGGGAATTTTCATTTATTATTATTATTATTATTATTATTATTATTATGTTGGTATTCTAATGCAGGTCTATGATACTCTGGTAGTTAGAAGTTGTGCTCTACTATTTTAGTCAAAATAACATCACAATGTCAAAAAATTATTTCATAATTTTTTTTTTCTTTATCTTCACATTGTTTATTCTCTCTAATTGGGAATTGTTGGTCATATATTTTCTATTTATTTCTCTATGCAATGTGAGTTGCCCTGAATTTGTGCACTTTCATTGCAGAACAGGTTGAATATAACGAAGACAATCCGCAAATTTTCAATAGATCCAAATTTAAGGCCTACAGGTTCTGAATTTCACTCAGGACCAATTTCAGAAGCTATTAAGCACGGAGATGAAGCTGATGAAGAATATGGTGATGGTTCTGTTAAACTAACTGGACAAATTTTTGATAGAATTTCACATCAGTAAGTGGACGTCACCTGATTCCTGTTATTATTGTAGTTTGCTACTTTGATTCTGTTGTGGTGAAAGATTTTCCTTCTTATGCAATAATGATAGCGGTAGCTCCTTTTGATTTGTATTGAACTTTTGTTTTGCAGGCATCCAATCTTGGTTGTCAATTTCTATGCTCCTTGGTGTTACTGGAGTAATCGCCTGGTAATTTTCTAGTGTCCTTTTCTTGCTTACCATATTTTTTATGATTGCCTCATAATTTAGTGGTGCCTCGTTCTTCAGAAGCTACCCCAATGGCCTTATATATACTTGATTTTTTTTTTTTTTTTTTCAGGAAGGTTAATGCTTAAAACTTCTTGTTGCACTGTTCTGCCATCTATATTTTATGTCATTGCCTGCATGACAATGTGTTTGCTTCACTGAATCCCTCCAATCATCATTGTGATGTGTTCTCTCCATCTGGACATACAATTAAGATGGATCATAGAATATAATGTTGAATTGTCTCAACCATTTGAGTGATAATCTGATTCAAATTCCTCGTTCTTATTGGTATATTGGCTTAAGCACACGAATCTTTATGTGCAAGTGTTCTATAATGCTTGCTTTTAGAGCATTGAGTGTGTATTTGATGCGGTATAGTAAGAATATGGGGAGTGGATTCTCACCCTCATTTGCATGAATAGAATTTGGAGAAGGAAAGACCTCTTTCAGAACAACCTCAAACTTCCAAATTAATATTAAGAAATGTAGGAAGAAGCAGCCAGCCTGTTTTAACAGTTTACCAATTAAAAATCCATGTTTTGAAATCCGTGGGCCTACTACCTCACGTGGCATTGCTCCATCTGGCTTTCACATTAGTAGCATTCCCTTGCAATGTCACTGTGTATTTTGCTTAAGCAGAATTGCTTCTGAAGAAATTTCATTACCTAGTATATGTCCTCCCACTTACGCAGGTGTTGGGTGGGAAAGATTGGAGATAGACCTAACTCTTAGTATTATTTTATGTTGAAATATCTTTATTATTATTATTATTTTTATTAGCTGTTTTTATCCTTTTATTAGGTGTTTTATGTAAGATCCCTATAATCATGGGATCACGTAGATAAGATCTCCGCAATCATGGGATCCTGTAAATAAGATCCCCATAATCATGGGATCACGTAGATTTTGGCATATTTTATGTCTTTCTTTGATTTGGTTTCCTTTATTTGTACCCTATTCTTGTATATAAATATAGATCTTAGCTCTCGGTTTGAGTAAGCCAAAATTCAAAACTTCTTCTTTTTTGGTATCAGAGCAAAACAAAAACCTTCGCCTCCCCATCTTCCTCCCCAACGCCGCCACCTTCTCTCTCCCTCTCTCCATTTTCCCTCACCTCCGGTGTACCTCCATCTCCTCCCAGCCCTTGCGCCGGACCCCTCGGGTAACCCTCTGTTTTTGACTCCTTTTTTAGGAGAATTCCCTTAGTAGTAGTAGTAGTAGTAGTATTTGTTGTTGTTTTTGTTTTTTGTTTTTTGTTTTTTGTTTTTTTTTTTTTTTTTTTTTTTTTTTTTTATGATCTAAGTGTCCTTTCGGTGTTTTTTTTCTTTGTTGGTTGCCGGTGTTTGTTCAGCAGCATATTTCGAGGAAAGCGCCGATTTTTCCGGCCTCGTTTTTTTCTTTTTCCTCCCTCCTCGACGTGTGGACCAGCCTTAGTTTGGTATTATGAGTGATTCTAGTAGCCAAAAGGACACTTTATCTCCGGGCTGTGACCGCACTGCCGCAGTAGTCGAGCTATTGGTGGGTATAGTACTCCACAGATTGTTGTCCCTCCTGTTTCAACTCCTCCCAGAACATCTTTTCAGGACTTCAAATAGTTACAGTCCCAGATTGGTCAGCTTCAGGAGCAGTTCAGAGCCTTATCTACCAGGGTCGACTCTTCTACTCCCATAACTACTATAGCTATAGGTACTCTTTCTGCTTGTCATGTTAAAGCGGAAAAATCCACTTGGGTTTTGGATTCCGGAGCCAATGATCACATGACTTGTAAGTTGTCATTATTTTCTACTCTCGTTACCCCTGTTAATCAGACTGTTAGTCTAGTCGATGGGTCAACCACCATTATTCGTAGCAAAGGAAATGTTCATCTATCCTCTGATATTATTTTGCCATTTGTTCTTTATGTTCCTAACTTTGCATTTAATCTTCTATCTGTTAGCAAACTTGCCAAATCACTAAACTGTGCAGTGATTTCTTTCCTCATTACCGTGTTTTAAAGGACCTTTGTTCGAAGAGGATTTTTGGCAGGGGATATGAGCATGATGGCCTGTGCTACTTTAGGGATCCGCCACTGACACCTCCTCCACTTGCTTCAAGCCTTCAAGCCTCTGTTCTTCTAGTTTCCAAGTCTTATGATTTTTCTTTTCAGACTTTAAGTTTATGGCATGCTTGTCCTGGGCATGTAAACTTTTAGTATTTATGTCTACTTTTCCCTTCATTAATAATGGCTTGTAAGGATAATAAGTTTCAATGTGAGATTTGTGAGCTTTCTAAACATACTAGAATCAGTTATATTTCTCATATGCATCGTGCACCTAGTATGTTTGATCTCATACATTCTGATATGTGGGGTCCTTCTCCTGTTACTACTTCTTCGGGGCATCGTTATTATGTCACATTTATTGATGATTATTCTCGTTGCACATGGGTATATTTACTTAAAAAGAAATCTAAAGTTTTTCCCTTGTTCACTCAATTCCTCCAAATAATCAAAACTCAATATGAAACTGTTGTTAGGAATATTAGGTCTGACAATGGTCGTGAATATGTTTCCAATGAGTTTCGTTCTCAACTTAACCAACAGGGTATTCTTCATTAGCTTACTTGCCCATATACCCCTGAACAGAATGGTGTTGCAGAGCATAAAAACTGCTGACTAATATTAGTTGTTCGATGTCTTTTACGTGGTATGAATGTGCCAAAGTTATACTGGCACATAGCGGTTCTTACATTTACTTTTCTCATTAATCGCAGTAGAGTCTTAAATGGTAAGGCCCCTTACAAGTGCTTCAGCTTGATATTACTCTTTTTTTCATCATGCCTCGGGTGTTTGGATGTACATGTTTTGTTCAGGATCGTAGCCCTTCTTGTGCTAAACTTGATGACAAGGCCATTAAATGCATCTTTTTAGGATACTCTTCCATGTCAGAAGGTTACCGGTGTTATGATCCAGTACACAAACACATGTATCACTCTCTCGGTCTCACCTTTCATAAGCATACCCCTTTTTATGGTTCTAACACTATCTTGCAGGAAACTTATACTCTCGATTAAGAGGCTTCTCCTCTTGCTCGTCCTTTTCCTATTTTTCAAGAAGAGCCTTCTCTTGTGGTTTCCTCACCCCCTTTGCAGGTCTATTCACGCCGCCCTCGTGCTCCGCCTCCACTGCCTTCATCCTCCTTTGAGTCAGGTTTAGGTATATCTCTTTCTCCTTTACATTGCCCTGACCCTGATCTTGTTCCTGAGTCTCGGTATCCCACTCAGGACCGCAAAACCCCTACTCGATTTGGATTCGCTTGTAGTACTAATCATCCTATTTCGCAGTATATCTCTTATGATGGTCTTTCAGAGTCTTATCGAGCCTTTCTAGGCAAACTTAATTCCATTTCCATTCCCAGAAAGTTGTCTGTGGCTTTTCGGAATCCCAATTGGATGTTTGCTATGAAGGTAGAAATGGATGCTTTGCAACATAATGAAACATGGGAGCTTATATCTCTCCCTCCTAGTGAAAAGACTGTTGGTTGCAAATGGGTATTCAGTGTTAAATATCTGGCTGATGGCTTTATTGATTGGTATAAAGCCCGTTTGGTGGCTAAAGGGTTTCTGGTAAAGACTTTAATGAAACCTTTGCTCCAGTGGCTAAATTGACCTTAGTTCGTTTGCTTGTCTCCCTGGCTGCCTCTCACAATTGGCATCTTCATCAGCTTGATGTGAAGAATGCTTTCCTTAACGGTGATCTTCTTGAGACTATTTACATGGATCCTCCACCTGATTTTCGGATTGAGGGGGAGTATGCTGAAAAGGTCTGTCGATTGCTGAAGTCTTTGTATGGATTAAAACAATCTCCCAGAGCTTGGTTTAGCTGCTTCAGTGATGTAATTCTATCCATGGAGTTTGTTAGATGCCATTCTGACCATACATGTTTTATCCACCATGCCTCCACTGGTCGATGTATCATTCTGCTTGTCTATGTTGATGATATCATCATTACTCGCAATGACATCCTTGGGATTGCTCAAGTAAAGTTTCAATTGGCTAAAGCTTTTGATGTGAAAGACCTTGGGCAGCTCAGATATTTCTTGGGAATTGAGGTTGCTAGATCTAAGAAGGGTATCTCCTTATCACAAAGGAAGTATGTCTTGGATCTTCTTCGAGACACGGGTATGCTTGTGTGTAAACCTGCTTCCACTCCTATGGATCCTAATCTGAAGATCTCGGCTGAGTCCTGAGATCTCCTTTCTGATCCCTCGCAATATTAGCGCTTGGTAGGAAGATTGATTTATCTTACCAACAACCGTCTTGATTTGGCTTTTGCGGTTAGTGTTGTGAGCCAGTTTATATTTGCTCCTCGTACAACTCATATGGATGCCGTATATCATATTCTTTGATATCTTAAGTCCTGTCCTGGACTTGGATTATTCTATTCTTCTAGCAGGCAGGTTGGGCTATCCTGTTTCAGTGATGCAGACTATGCTGGGTCCAAGACTGACAGACGTTCCACATCTGGCTTTTGTACTTTCTATGGAGACTATCTTATATCCTGGAAAAGTAAGAAACAACCTGTAGTTTCGAGATCTTCAGCAGAGGCTGAGTATCATGCCATGGATCAGGGTACTTGTGAGATTCTCTGGCTTTGATCTTTCTTGGTGGAGCTAAGGCTTGGTGAAAAACAATCCTCAGACTTGTTTTGTGATAATAAGTTGGCCATCATGCTTGCTTCAAATTCTGTTCTTAACGAGAGGACTAAACATATAGAGGTGGACATTCATTTTATCAGAGAGAAGGTTCGTTTGGGAATTATCAAGCCGTGCTTTGTTCATTCCTCTAATCAGTCGGCCGATGTGTTCACCAAATCTGCTGGTCCATCTTTGCTTCATTCCTCGATTACCAAGCTGGGTTTGATTGATATCTTCACTCCAGCTTGAGGGGGAGTGTTGGAATAT